GAGCTTCAATGGCGGATAAATTAGCTCTACCTCTCCTCCTCCCAAACCCGCCTCCCCCAAAACCCTTCTTCCTGGACAGCTCCACCGCCGCGCCGCCGCCGCCGCCGCCTCCGAACTTCGCTCCTCTCATCCAGGACATCCTCCCCCGCCGCTTGAACCCCACGGTCACAACCTCCACCTCCTCCGCTCCCCCAAACTACCCCTCCGCCATTCCCAGGCCACGATGTCGTATTGGGAAACACCCGAGACCCCAACAAGGGCAAGCCCTGGGTCCACAGCGGACTCTCCTCACAAGGTTTGCTCGTTCTTCAATCCCTCATCGACCCCCAATTCGACCCTGAGAATCTCAACGAACAGTTGTCCTCTCTGTTCAATTCCTGCTGCAATCGGGAAGACGAGTTCTCTGAGGATTTTATTTTTTCTGATTTATTCGGGATAATCAAAGCTCTGGGCTACTATGAAAAAAGCAACCTGGCTTTGAATGTGTTTGAGTGGATTAGAAAGCGTAAGGATTCAGATAATTACATAAATGGGTCTGTTGTTGCTGTGATTATTAGAATGCTGGGCAAAGAGGGTAAGCTCTCAACTGCATCTTCTTTGTTTCATGATTTGCATAAAGATGGATTAGGGATCGATGTCTATGCTTACACATCCCTAATAACCGTATTATCGAGCAAGGGACGATATAGGGAAGCCATTATGGTTTTCAACAAAATGGAAGATGAAGGTTGCCAGCCGAGTTTAATCACCTACAACGTGATTTTGAACGCATATGGCAAAATGGGTATGCCGTGGCATAAAATTATGTCGGTTTTCGATGGTATGAAGAGCTCGGGTATATCCCCTGATTCATACACGTACAATACGATCATAAGTTGTTGCCGAAGGGGGTCTTTACACGAGGAGGCCAAAGGGATTTTTCACGAGATGAAATTAGCCGGATTCTTGCCGGATAAGGTCACGTATAATGCATTGTTGGATGTTTACGGTAAGTCGAGGAGGCTTAAAGAGGCAATGGAAGTTCTGAAAGAGATGGTGGCGAACGGTATTCCGCCTAGCATTGTGACTTACAATTCTTTAATATCCGCATATGCTAGAGATGGGTTGTTAAATGAGGCCATGGAGTTAAAATCCCAGATGGTTAAAAATGGGATTAAACCGGACGTGTTCACTTACACCACATTGCTGTCCGGATTCGAAAAAAAGGGGAATGACGAGTCGGTCATGGGGATATTCAAGGAAATGCAGCTCACGGGCTGCAATCCGAACATCTGCACGTTTAATGCTCTCATTAAAATGTATGGTAACCGTGGGAAATTCAAAGAGATGATGAGAATTTTTGATGAAATGAAAGCTTGTGGGTTCAAGGCAGATGTTGTCACGTGGAACACTCTTTTGGCCGTGTTCGGCCAGAACAGGATGGACACGGAACTTTCCGGAGTGTTCAAGGAGATGAAAAGGTCCGGTTTTGTAGCTGAGAGGGACACATTCAACACGTTGATTAGCGCTTACAGCAAATGCGGATCTTTGGACCAAGCAATGGCTATTTATAAACACATGCTCGAGGCTAAGGTCACTCCTGACCTCTCAACTTACAATACTGTATTAGCTGCTTTATCCCGGGCCGGGCTGTGGGCCCAGTCGGAGAAGGTTTTCGCTGAAATGGTGAATGGCCGGTGTAAACCGAATCAATTGACTTACAGTTCTTTACTCCACGCGTATGCCAATGGAAAACAGATTAAAAAAATACACTCTTTGGCTAAAGAAATATATTCCGGTAAAATCGAGCCTTGTGCGGGTTTGCTTAAAACTCTTGTTATTGTCTACAGCAAATGCGATTTGCTGAAGGAAACAGAACAGGCTTTGTTGGAGCTGAGGAGTAAAGGCTCTTCTCCCGATATAACCATTCTAAACGCGATGGTCTCGATTTACGGGCGGAGGCAGATGATCGATAAGGCGAACGAGATTTTCGAGTTCATGAGAGAAAACGGGTTTACGCCCACTCTCGCCACGTACAACAGCATGATGTACATGTACAGCCTGTCGGTTGATTTTGAACGGGCAGAGGATATTTTAAAGGATTTAATCAAGAAAGGGATTAAGCCGGATGTGATTTCGTATAATACGGTGATTTACGGTTACTGTAGGAATAGGCGTATGAAAGAGGCTTCGAGGATGTTTAAGGAAATGAGAGATTCGGGTCTTAATCCGAATGTGATTACGTACAATACGTTTGTCGTGAGTTACTTATCAAATGCCATGTTTGTGGAGGCCATTGATTTGGTTCGCTATATGATCAAGAATGGGTGCAGGCCGAATGAGAGCACGTATAATTCGATCGTGGACTGGTACTGTAGGCTCGATAGGCGTGATGAGGCGGTTATGTTTGTTAGTAATGTTCGGGAGATAAATCCGCACATTTCGAAGGAGGATGTTCGTAAATTGTCCGAAAGGCTGAGAATAAAACGAGGTCATGAGGAGGATGATGATGGGTTTCTTTGGGGTGATTAACCAGAGCTCAAGTTGGAAGAGAGTGATGTAAAAAAGGTTCCATAGATGTAATAAAATTAGTACCTCCCATAGTTAGTAGATATGTATGCATTAATCAAAACTGTTGATGTGTATGTTTTTTTGCTTGTGCTTGTTGTTATTACTGTCAGCTGTGTACTGCATTTTGAGATGTATTCAAGGTGAAATGGAGAATGGATTTGGGAAGATGCTGAGATATTCTGGTGGATCTCTTAATAGTGAAATCATTTGGAGAAAAAAAAAAAAATACCAATTAAAAAAATTAATTGTATTTTTTAATATAACCCAAAAAATAGATTAATCAAGTATCAATTCATGACCTAAAGATTATAATTTCATGCTTCGACAGTGTTTTTATTTTCATATGAAACCGAAACATAATTTATTTGGAGCAGACGAGGTCACCCTTTTGAAAAGGATGATCGCGTTCAGGGACGCCAGGGGCCAGGAACTGAGCGCCAACATGGCGGCCTTTTACGATTCTGTCAAGGGGAAGCTGAAGGTCGTGTTCTCGAGGGAGCAGCTGAGGAGAAAGTGCAATAGGTTGAAGAAGAGATAATTGAATGCCCTCAAGTACGGCAAAAATGGCGAGGATCCTGTCTTCTCAAATCCCCACGAAGACATAGTGTTTCAGCTTTTCAAAAAAAATACGGGAGAACAACATTCAAAAGGGCCAAAATTTTGGTTAAAATGTCCTCAGTGCCCTCAATGAGGATGACAATTGGAAGAAGCTCAAGATTAAGGAGATGAAAGTCTTCTTGAGGCATTCAGAGGTGAAGACAAAACAAAACAGGCAAAGCTTCAGTCCATGAAGTCCCAATTCTAGTATTTTGTGTAGTCATTTTGGCATAATCTGTGATGGCTCCATTGGATGGCTTACTTTTGTGTTATGCAAAGTGTTGCTGCTGGTTTTAAGTTGCGGTTTACTCTATTTTGTTACGGAACTTTTTATGTCTCGAGTATATAATGTTTGACAAAAATTCTATGGAATCATCCGATGGCTCACTTATGGAGTCATTCATAACTTTATGTACTGACACATGTCCAATACGTATTTATTGTAGTACTCGTGTCAATACACCATTTGTGAGTAACCATGGATGACTCCATAAGTCGAGTCATCCAATAACTTCATAGCAAAGCCGAAATGTTTAATTGGGGCTCCTTGCTCTCCTACTACATTATCAATTTGCTTGTCATTTTTTTAGGTCTAAATTAAATTGATTAGCAATATGTACATTGAATCAATTTACTATGGATAACTTGACCGTATGTACATTGGATCTCGAAAAATGAGTAAGTTATCGATTCGAAACTTGAAATAAAACTTTTATTTATTTGAGATCGATAAAATATAAAAATATCACTTTAAGAATCTTACTTTTAGTAGAATGTGAAAACTTTTATTGATTTGAGTCGAAAAACCTAAAAATATCAATTTAAGAATCTAAATTTTATTAACATATGGCTCGAAAAGATTAATCAAGTACCAATTCATGACCTAAATATATAATTTCATGTTGAATTCTTTATTATGAGCCATATCAAATTGAATCTCGAAAGACTAAGTTATCAATTCGAATAATGAAAGAAAACTTTTATTGATTTGAGATCAAAAAATCTAAAAATATTAATTTAAGAATCTAACTTTTATTAGCATATGGCTTGAAAGATTAATCAAGTATCGATTCCTGACCTAAAGTTATAATTTAATGCTTCAACATTGTTTTTACTCTCATATGGGACCGAAATAATTTATTTCATCTATTTATTTTGATTTATCATTTATATAAAATTTTTTGTTATAACTAATTCGTCGTACAAAAAAATATTGATTTCTTTTTTTGTTTTATACTTTCTAGGTTTTGCTCATATTCAAATGTTTTTTATTTATTTTCTTCACATCCATATTTAAAGTCTTAAATTGATGGTCTGCGTAATTCAGGTATAAATCGATAAATTTTATCTTTCATATCAGAATTGATAAAAATAAATTATTATTATTATTATTATTTTATACTAGTGCGTATTATGTGCGATGCACGGGCATACTTATTCCTTATAATTTTTTTATAAATTTATTTTAAATATATGACAATATTTAATCATCTCATTCTTTTAACTATAATTATCTAAATTTAAAACATCTCATGCATCTTTTATAATTAGTTACCATGCAAATAAAGCAACTAATTAATTAACATAATTAATTCTTATGAAAAATAACAAACACGTTTTTATTTAATGATATCTATATATATCTATATAAAAAGAATTACCATTTTTTAAAAATAGTAGGTCAAATTTTGGTCAAATCTCAATTAGCATTAATTACATTCCATACTTAGTAACTTCTTTTTTTATTTTTTATTTTTTATTTTTCAAAAATTTCAGCATTAAACGCTACCCTAAAATTATGGTATTTGTTACTTTTCTTTCAAAAAATCGTGCTACCATAAAGACAATATTACATACCATAAATTTTTTGCTAACTAAAGTGTTTTGTTTGGAAACTATTATATTTTCATTAAAACTAATTACGGTTGATTTAATCTTGAAATGATACAACAATTTTAATTTTTTTAAATATGCACCATTTATATATTTTGTGGATTTAATTTAGGTATATTTCGACTGATGCAAAAGTCAATTTTCTTTCTCTATTTTTATTAAAAAAACTTATTAAAATAAAATCAAGAATTTCGAATTAGGCAAAATACTATCACATATATCTTTTACTAATTGCAACAAATCAATTATTTATTATAAAAATCGGATTGCATAGTCGGCATGACAATTTTGTAAAAGTCAAAATTATTTTATCTTTTTATTAAAAAAATATGTTTACTTTACAATCGAGTATTTTGAATTAGACAAAACACTATAACATGTATCTTTACCTAATTGTAGCAAATCATGTTTATTAAAAAAATCGAATTACATAAAAATCGGGCTAAATTTCAAATTAAAAACTAAAAATCTTTTATCATTTGATTACTACTTTCTTTAATTCGGACGTTTCTAAACATAAAACAAAGTCATATAATATTAATTTTAAATTCAAAATAAAATCGGATTGTAACATCCTAAAATTTTGGGTTTTGTTTAATTATCTAGAATACAAATTTGAAATTGATTGAATACACTTACAAAATAAATAATGATTTCATACACTTACAAAAATATCGTATATATTCTGCTAAATAATTTAATCGATTTGTTTAAGACTATCTACAATCTTAATATAATTTGTGGCGATAGACGATGTACCAAAAGTCCAAACAAATAATTTTGTGTACAATGATGTGTTTAATAATATATAACGTTACATTGTGTTTCATTTCAATATATGTATTTTACGTTTTTCCAATCATCCAAATTTAACTGCTTACCTTAATAAAACTAGCTCGTGCATCGCACGGGTACCACACTAGTTTACCTTCAATACTAGAAGTACAAAAGAATAACATAGATAAAACAACCCTTACGATAATAATGCACATTCCTTAAAGTAATTACAAAATTTCTTAAATTAGAAAGTCAAAAAGTTTTAACTCGAAAAGAACTTTCTGGAATTTTGTATATGGATGCAACAAAGCTTGACACCTCATGAGTTTGAAATTTTTGCTCTTTCAACTGGTTAATTTGGATAGAAAGACAACGGGTTGTCCATGACCCTCATCTTAATGACGATCTCAAGTTAGTTGCTGGAGCTGAAAGCATAGTACATAACTTTTAAATTTCTTCAGGCTCTTTCCGACACTTTCGGTGTTCAGAAGATAGTCAACTAAATCTCAAATGGAACCCCCCACCCAAAATTTCAGTGCAAGTGGATGTGGATGCAAGTGTTAATATGAAAGCTGAAAAATTAGGTATAGGGGGAATCACTCGGGATGATCAAGACAGAGCTCTTTTTGCTTTTGAAATGCCAGTAAGAAATTTGTGTTCAGTCTTCCTTTGTGAGCTCATGGCAATTAAAGAAGGTTTGGATAAATGTGGTTTGTTGCACAAAATTCCTCTCTTTATTTACACGGATTCGCTGTTGGCGGTACAAGCAGTTACCGACTTCACCGAGACACGTGGCTATATTTGCTCGTGGTCTAAAGATATTGATGATCTTATGTCTCAAGCGGCAGCGTCTAGACATCTCTGCCATATGCGTCGCTCGACCAATAATATCGCTCATGCTCTTGCAAAATTTGTTTTTTTTTTTCAAACGCCCCTTTCTTATGGAGGGTGGATGTTTTCTCGCCTTGGTTTAAGGAATTTATCTGTACTGATTTAATTTCTAATTGATTTATTAATGATAAGTTTCTTTTCCGGTAAAAAAAAAAAAAAAAAACTTTCTAAAAACAACAAATACAATTATTATTAATAATTATTATTATTATTTAATTTGATTTTATTTGATTTGATGACGTTAACACTTTCAACGCCAAACCCAAGAAACTATCCTCCCGCCACTCGCCAGAGACACCCTCCGTCAACCTCTGATCGGCAAAGTCTCGTTTCAATTCCTCTGCAAATTCTAAAAAACATTGGTAAAACTAATCTATTGAAAAAAAAAAACCCTAATTCGTTCCCGTTGACAAATTCCGGTCAGATCCACGACCCAATTATGAAGTACAGAGGGAAAAGGTTTTTGGGGATGAAGGCCAAGCTAAGACCCCCAATCGTCTTCTTCCTGTGTTTCTGCTTCTTTCTTGCCGGGATGTTTGGATCCATCATTATATCCCAGGTAAAAAATCGTTATTTCTCTTCATATGCCCTAATTTGTATTCATTTCAACTGTGCTTTGTGCCTGTTGCTGTGGTTATTGTGAAAAAATAATGTCGATATAGTTCGTGCAGGATGTAAATAAGGATGGGTTTAGGCATAAATTGGCTGAAGAGTTTCGGCGCGAAGAAGGCGACCCGACGGTTCATGGTGAAACTGGAGAATCTGTTGTGGCCTCTATCCCATTTCAGGTCACTCCTCAAATACCAATATTTTTCGATTTTGGGATTTGGGATTTGGGGAAGTTTAGTTACATTTTATCTGGTTGGTTGCTATTATTGTTCGATTCTTGATTATGGTTATGAATTGCTTGGCAAATAGTAAGGGTTTCTTAGCATGTAAATGTGTGTTCCACTGGTAATTTAGCTATTATGAAGGGATGCAGTTGTGGTTAGGTTTTTGGAGATTTTTCAAAATGTCCAAAATAACCGGTATGGACGAAATGTGTTTTCACTTGTACTCGGATATGGCGAAGTTGGATTGTGGATAGTTTTTCAGAAAATGGAAACTTTGTGTTTGTGCAGATTTTGAGCTGGAGGCCACGGGCCCTTTATTTTCCTAATTTCGCGACTGACGAACAGTGCCAAAGTGTGATTGAAATGGCGAAACGCAAGCTCAGACCTTCATCACTTGCTTTGCGGAAGGGAGAGACAGCTGAGAGCACGAAGGGTATAAGAACGAGGTATCTTCTTGTGTATTGTTTTTTCTCATTCAAAATTGTTTTCCTCAAAATTTTTATTCTGACTATTTGTTGTTATTGTTTTTCGTGATCTTATTTCTTTGCAAAGTATCAAAATGTTGCTTACGGGAGCAAAAATAATTGTATGATTACCATTTATGATAATTTTTCATAAGCTTTATAGATGAAAAGGGTGGACTAATGTGCTTTTTGATTCTATGCTTGGAATGCATGGGGAACATAATAGAATGCTCAAGCTCGATATGAAAGTTGTTCCAAGACGCACTTTTTTTTTACTACAAATTGATTCGTTTGCGGTTAGAACTTTTTTAAGTAATTACAGATATATACCCATTTTCGCTTAATCAGATTATTGATTCTTATTATCCACTCTGGTCTTCATTGTAATTAGCATATTACAATGGATTATTTTAGGCATGTAACTGATGAAGAAGTGATTAAAAGTATGTAATATGATCTGGAGTATTTGATGTAGCTTCATTAATTCCGTGTTGGGTCTAATTTTATAACAAGGGTGATGTGATTTGCTATTTCAAGCGAATTTCTGGTGCACACTGTAATAATTCTTTTTTTCAAATATTACAGTTCAGGCACGTTTATCAGAGCATCAGAAGACAAAAGGGGCCTTCTGGAGTTTATCGAGAAGAAAATTGCTAGAGCAACAATGTTACCAAGAAGCCATGGGGAGGCAATTTTTTAATCCTTCTTCAATGCTGTGACTGCTCTCCTGTAATTTTTATAACGCGAGTCATGTCTATTGATCTTATTTCATCCCAAACTTCAAACTCGATACAGACTAAAGGAGAGAGAGAGAGAGAGAGAGAGAGAGAGAGAGAGAGAGAGAGAGAGAGAGAGAGAGAGAGAGAGAGAGAGAGAGAGAGAAGATGCAGTTATAATAAATATTATCGTCTAACTCACAGGCTAGAAACCATGCAAACGGCAAAAGCCACATTATTATCTCTTTTCTTTAGGATGTAAAAGCTTAATTTTTTGGAAGTGCATCATTTTGTGGCCAATATTGCCTTTAGTCTAAGAGTTTGATAGATTTAAAATTTTCTATTACAGGTCATTTCTGAGATAGTCGCATATCACCATGTTGCAGGCTTTTAATGTTCTGAGGTATGAAGTGGGACAAAGATACGCTTCTCACTACGACTCGTTCGACCCAGCAGCATATGGCCCACAGAAAAGCCAAAGGGTATGCATTTTTACACTTGGTTACTAATTCATAGGAAATGATGTCTAATGGAATTATGGAAATGATATATAATGGAATGTTTTAGCATTCAATTTAATTCCATCTTTATAGATTGCGTCTTTCTTGCTGTACCTATCTGATGTGGAAGAAGGTGGAGAAACCATGTTTCCTTTTGAGGTAACTTTTAGCATCTTGTTCATATTTGCATGAAGTATTCGCATTAAGAGGCTTTCTTTCGTTTTTTTTTTCTAGTAAAAAAAAAAAATATATTCTGATTTGCAGAATAGCTCTAACATGAATATTGGATATGATTACGAAAGCTGCATCGGTTTAAAGGTGAGGCCACGGAGAGGGGATGGTCTTCTGTTCTATTCGGTTTTTCCAAACCTGACTATTGATAAGGTTAATTACCCATTTCCCAATATACCACCGTTATATGTATTTGAATTTTATATGATAAGGCGAAAAAACCTGAAGGACAATATTTAATGTTTTACAATCAACATTTTTACTTTTAACCTTTTTTTTTCTTGTCGTGAAATGTAACGAAATCATTTGGATTTGTTAGACCTCACTACATGGAAGCTGTCCGGTTGTGAAGGGTCAGAAATGGGTTGCCACAAAATGGATCAGGGACAACGAAGCGATGGAATTCCACTGATTCTTGCATGTAACACGTTCTAATCCTTTTAATAATTCTCGGATTACTTATCTACTTTGGTTCAGTTTCTTAAAGCACTAATTGTTATGAAGACTAAAATTTATGAACTTAATGAAACCACTTAACTGCTTAAGACAAATATGGCATGCAAATGTAATATCTGAGTTCGAGTTCTACTTCAGGCAATCTTGACAATCCTGAAATAACAACACAGATCGCATAGTAATTTATAAGAAAGAAAGTAAATTGCCTTTTTAGCGGGGTTTACGTAATTGTCTTATTCATAAGGGTGCAATGTCATGTGCGTAATTTGGAAGATTGTCGATGTCTCTTTCATATGAATAAAAAGTGACGATCATCAGAAGAAGAGTATGCATGCGTGTCACATTCCTTAGTTGGCTTTTAAGTGAAGATTACTTTCTTCTTGTATGTGTATAAATTCAGCATAGAGGCTCAAAGCCAGACACAAATAATTTCATGAGGAAAGCATATTCATGTATGTACACTACAATTTTCCTTGCTGACAATACTCCATTATCCCGTTTAGTTCCAGTTTCGTGCTTTCAGCTTCCTCCAAAAACTGTCGTCTTATTTACGTTCTTTTTTATAGAACAATTCGTTATATAATCCCTACTATCTCACAATTAAGTCGCCCTAATGTTTTGGTTGACGCTCGAACGTCAACAATCGCCAACAGTCATCAGATCTAACTTTAAAACTTCGACCGTTGTGGACCTGAAACAAGCTTGAATTTTTCAAATTCAAATTCAAAATTCAGGCAGATAACCGAGTTCTGAATTCAGGCCGGGCGGGTCGATAATGTTCTATATATGCCTCCTAAATCGACCCGATCAAACCATAGGTCCGATCCCGATTTGAATTTGAAGCCCATAGTCAATGAGTTTTTCGGGCGGATCAACGCGATGTAAACGGTAGGTCATATGGCTGATGGTAACTTTACAATTTTGTTGTAAATATTTTTGTTATGTTTTGTGTCACCTGGTATATTAGTTTAATGTGTAAATTACTGGTAATTGAAGTTTTCGATAAAAAAAACAGTACAATAGTTTTAAAAAGAGAAATGCCATATTGTTAACCTAGTGTACAACTAGGTTGAACACAAGTGAAAACATATACTTGTGTATTTTTTTTTTATATTTTTTTTTTTTTTTGACATTTTCACTTATGTTGTCAACCTAGTTGTAACTATGTTTGCAACGTATCATTTTTTTTTTAAAAATAACCAATAACAAAGATAACAATATTTTTATATAGAGATGATAGGCGGACATATATGATGTTGTGTACAACTAAGTTTTCATAATAAACAACTCTTGAGGGAGAGTTTTGCCGCCCTTGTGGTCCTACCCGGCTCGATTCCGGATTAGTCGGTTCCCCTGTGGATCCGGAAACTGGAAGGTTCCTGTACAAAAAAAAAAAATAAACAACCTTTATTTTAATTATTATTTATATTATTGTATTTAAACTCTATGTAATGCTCTCGTGCATGTGCACGGATAAAGAATACCAGTTAGGAATAAAGATGCAATTATGTCTATAAAATTAGACGGGTCTGATTATGATTCTGGCATGTAGGATTTGGGTTGGCCTGGATAACCCGATTAGTTGGGAGGATCTCAATTGATCGCCAATAGTCATCAGATCCAACTTTAAAACATCGACTGTTGTGGACTCGAAACAAGCTCGAATTTTTATAAATTCAAACTCAGAATTTAAATTCGATTATTCATGGAGGAAACTCACATTCGAATTCAGGTCAGGCAGGTTGATAGTTTTCATTATATGACCTCCAAATCGGCACGGTCAAAACACATATCTGGTCCCGATTTAAGTTCGAAGCCCACAAATAACGAGATTTTCAAGCGAACTTATAAACAACGGGTCGATGGTCATGTCTACATGCCATGTGAGTTGATCTAATTGTGGAAAACATGTTGTGAGTATGAAGAATCAACTAAAGTGGCAAGTAGACCTAAAAATGAGATCAAACAAAACAACACAGGCCTGCCTAGACTGAAAACTTGCATCAATAGATATATACTGAACTGTACCAACTAAAAACTCAGACAACCGCAGAAAGAGAGATTCCGGTGGTTTGGTAGCGGTGGTCCCAGCCTAGTGCAGCCCCTACCACCTCCACAAATTGCAAAAAAAAAGAAAAAAAAAAAAAAAACTACTTAAAGTAAAAAAAATTGAAAAAATAAAGAAAAGAAGAGAATAGATGTGCAGAACTCTTGGGAGAAAATGTGGACCCCACCTCAGTACTTTGTTTCCTCTTTCAACACCTAAAGTGTGACCTATCAATTCTAATTATTGGCCAAAAGTTCCAACAAAATAAGTTATAACAACAAATAAAAACCGAACCGAACAACACTATTCGGTTCGGTTCGGTTTTCGAAAAAATAAATTCGGTTTAACCGAACCGAACCGAATTTATGTTACTAATTAGTAAACTTTAATAGTATTGGTCCATTACCCAACCCAATAGCTAAATAATATAAATCAAATTTTAGATTTAGCTAAATAATATAAATCAAATTTTAGATTTTAGATATGTATGCTCAATTTCATAGCCCAACAACTAAATAATAAATCAGATTTTAGATTTTAGAGAACTTGTGATAAAAATTATTATGTTTTGGAACATGTGTTGTGAACTTATGTATAATTTCGGTTGTAAAACCGAACCGAACCGATAATTTCGGTTCGGTTTTAGTTCGGTTATTAAAGGTTATTCGGTTCGGTTCGGTTTCATATTATAGGTTTTTTCGGTTGCCGATGCTCACCCCTAGCCCTTGGTTTTGACGGGCCGATCAAGAGTCACCCATAGGAGGCCCGCCGGCCCGACAGGCGCGACCCAGTTCGTTGACCGGCCATGTCTAGTCCAAACATTGATTTGACCATCCAAAAATGTGTCCTTCATTCTCTTTCTTCTTCTGTTTTTCTTTTGCGCTTGTTTTTCCTTTTTATTCTTCTCATAGCCCATTTACTCATTTTCACCTTCAAAGTTCTGAACTTTCTACCTTCCAAACCCTCTCTCTCAAATGGGTTTTCCATCTCTGCTCTGTTTCACCATTCTTATCTTCCTCTACTCTGTTTCTACAGCACACTCTACCAACTCTGAAGGTAAAAAATCAAGCTCCTCTTTTCAAAATTTCGTCTTTTGTCCCCATTTTTTACCTTTTTTACAAAAATTGATTGAGACCCATCTTTGTGAAATTTTCATTTCTTGATTTATTTATTTATTTTTTTTTTTTTTCGATCTGTATTTCAATTTTCAGGTAATGCTTTACATGCTCTGAGGATCAGACTTTCGGACCCTAACAATGTCCTTCAAAGCTGGGATCCGACACTCGTGAATCCTTGTACCTGGTTTCATGTCACTTGTGATGCTGATAGCCATGTTGTTCGCTTGTAAGAAAGTTTCGATTTTTGATATATGGGTTGTGTTTGTTTTTGCCTTTTGTGCTGGGATTAATCTTTTTTTTTTTTATGTTTTTTTTGGGAATTTTACTTTACTGATTTTGTGGTGATTTTGTTTTGTTGATGTTCTTTTAATTGTAGGGACTTGGGAAATTCAAACATTTCTGGGACTTTAGGTCCGGAGCTTGGTGAACTGAAGCATCTTCAGTATTTGTAAACACTCAAAACCCTCTCATTTGTTGTGCCATTCCGTCGGGATATGTAACCGTGAGATCAACTATCTCTGACGATTATGTTCTAACGGTTACAAACCCCGATGGAATGGTTCCGTAACGGGACCTTAGCATTTCCCTATATATAGTACATAATTAAGGGCAAAAGGTCTTTTGTATCAATGAGTTGATTGATGAAACAAGGATTTTTTAACAAGAAATGAGAATGGTGAAATGAAAACTACAAAAACTGCCCATGAGATTGAGTTAGGTTTTTTAAATAAAGATTAAAAGAATAACAAATCACCCTTGACACGAAACTCACCCTTGAAATGTGATCAAACTATTTTTTAAATGAGTGTTAATCTGAGGGCAATCGATCGGGACTAATTTAGATGTTTTCCAGTAGCTTTATGTTGTTCTTGTTACATTAATCGTCACTGAAGACTTCAAGTTTAAGTTAGATGTTTTCCAGTAGCTTTATGTTGTTCTTGTTACATTAATCGTCACTGAAGACTTCAAGTTTAATGGTTTATGTGGCCTTTTCGCAACATTAAAACGTTCCTCAGGGTCGTGGAGTATTAGTAAATATTGAAAATTTGGTTAAATTATATTTTGAGTCAGCTAAACTCAGGGCAATAGCTGCAATTATCGAGATAGCACATAATTGGGACAAAGTTAGATGCCTTACAGTAGCTTTATTCTGTTCTTGTTACATCATTCGTCACTAAAGTAAAGACTCGAACTTTAACTGTTTATGCAACTTTTTCGCGACATTTACGCGACTAACAATCAATCTTTAGAGTGTGCGACTCTTTGTGCCCTTGTGTCTGTCGTAGTTACTATTTGCAATCAGTTGATCAAGAAAGAGCTAAAATTTTGCATTCCTTTACAGAGAACTTTACAGAAATGAATTCAGAGGAAAAATCCCAGAGGAATTGGGCAAATTGGATAAGCTCGTGAGCATGGATTTGTATGGAAACAAACTCGAAGGGAAAATTCCGAAATCATTCGCCAACTTGAAGTCACTTAGATTTCTGTAAGTGTACAAACATTGTCATCAAGAATTACTCGTGAAAAGTTGCTGTTTTTTGAAGTGGCTCTTTAATTTGTAATTGATTGTGACAGACGGATAAATAACAACAAATTAACCGGGTCGATTCCTAGGGAGCTCACGACTCTATCCAACCTCAAGATTTTGTGAGTCTAGGTTTTTTTTTTTTTTAATAAGTTATTGGTATAAATAAAAATTTGAAAAGTTTGTGGTTTTAATTGTGTGAATGTTTGTAGTGATGTCTCAAACAACAATCTATGTGGAACAATACCAGTCGATGGCCCTTTTGTTAATTTCCCAATGGAGAGGTAAAGTGTTTTTCATTTGCTTATTCGTTTTTTTTACGGAACATTGGAAAAGCATCAGTTTGTGGCAAGCGGAAAATGCAACTAATTGTTGTACAGATCGACTGGTTCTGTTATGCCTTTATTGTGACAAAATTAAAAAAAAAATTAAAAAAAAATCAAAATCTACTACTTTTGTTATTTCAATTTGAGTTCTATCTACAATAAAAGTTTAATTTTGTATATTGTTATGCAGTTACCTGAACAACAGACTCAATGGGCCTGAGTTGAAAGGATTGGTGCCCTATGACTTTGGATGCTAAGGATGTCTTCACATACTTGCTAATACCCATATAAACATGCATAAGTTAAAAAGAAAAGAAAAAAAAAATGTTATGTATTTATGGTTTTTTTTTTTTTTTT